TTTTTTTTTTTTTTGGAATTTTAGGAACTAGAATCCTCCTGAGAAGACTTCATTGGAATGGGAAGCTTGTTGGTGCCTTGGAGAGACCATAAAGGCATCTCATCCACTTACCCAGTTCTATCAAAAACAATCTTGGACACTTTAGCAGGACTTTCTCAATACTGATGAAAGTTTCTCTTGAAAAAGAATATTATTTTATTAGGTCAGAAGTTCTGCAGGTATTGGCCCCATTGCTGCTTGTCTTCTCATAGCAAAAATTAAAGTAATGCTGTAGAGAGGCAGAGATATTTTATTTTATTTTTGTTTCTATATTTTGTTTTATTTAAGAATTTCATAGTAAACATTCTTTTTATTTATATATGTTTAGAATATATAATGATTACATTCATATTGGGGAACTGATACACATATGTAACGTATCTTGTTCATTTTGAAATCTTTAATCCCTCCCTATATTTTCCCCTCCTCAGGGTCCTCTAAAGAGTCTGACCTTCTATTTTCTACTATTTTTCCTTCATTTTACTCTCTTTAAAATTTATATTTGAAATAACTTATGAGCACACATAATTAAAAGATCAATGGAATTGATATGAAAAAATAAAAAATAATGGAAACAAAGTCTTTGTAGACAGGGAGGGAGGGAGGGGTTGAAGGGAGGGCAGGACAATGTTGAAAAAATAAGAACCAGGATTGACTATGTAAAGGTACACATTTTCAACAATGAATGTCATTATATTATATACATTAAGTGTACCAATAAAATTAATTTAAAAAATCAACATGCTGTCCCAACTATACTATTAAGGAGACCCAAGAGGAAAATATGGCAGTAATATTGTCTGTATTTTTTTTTGTAAGATCTCAGGCAGGACTACACTGAAAAACATAATGAAGCAGTCAGATCCTGCCCTGTAGATAGCATCACCATGTGTTTAGCCAGCTGTAAGTGTGGGTTGTTGCAAGGGATGTCTGTTGTCAAACGACATAATCTGAGTAGCGTTGCCATTGACAACATATTTTACCAGGAGGGACAAAATAACTGATGCAAAGAAAATATAGTCATTTCTGCTTTCACACAGTAATCGCATTCTTTAACAACTCAGTATATTTGAAATTGTGCAAAAACCTTTGCATTTATTTGCATGTGACAGCAGGGCTGGTTCTGGGCTCAATCATTACATGTGATGGGGCCTTCAAAAGTTGTGCAGAAAGTCTAGCCTGACCTGGATCTTGGTCACTAAATGTCAGTCACGACTTCCCATGTCACAGTGACAAGCAGATATGTGTCCATAGATTTCCAAAAGAATCCTAGGGCAGCATGACTTCTTCAGGGCACTTCTGGGGATGGGAACATTTTGGGAGAACTTGAGGTATGTATTTCCCACTGTTCTCCCCTCCCCCATAAAATCCTGAATTGTGTAATTCCATTCTATTTTCTTCACCTTTAAAGCAACTCATTCTCTGAAAAGAAAGGATAATCAAGAGCAAAACCTAAGGACTACTCTTCCTTTAGGTCAAAGAAAGAGAAATCAGTGATGGGGAGAAGTGAGAGAGCACACTGTCATGGAAGCCAGCGGGGAATGCACGCAAGAGGTGCCTGAGAGTCAATGTGAGCTAAAGATTCATGGTGGAGCAACAAGTCAAGAAGAGCCCAGAAATACAGTCACGAAGGGGTGAAGTGAGAATCAGAGGTCCCTGCCCTCATGAAGTGGGCATGGCCAGTAGGCAGTGACAGTTGGAGCCTAGAAATGTAGTCTATAAAGTTGCTTTCTGGAACTGAGTTTGGCTGAAATCTTGCGTCAGAGGGAAGGGAAAGGAAAGATGCCCACAAGACATTTGTGTAGCTCCAGTAATTTTTAGCTGCTTTTTCAAAGCATGGGTACCCAAG